AGAATTATTCTACTTTGTATATCACCACATTTTCTTTATCCATTCATCTGTTGATAAGCATATAGGCCACACTGTAATGTATCAACTGTGAATTTTTCTGCTTTCAACATGGATATTCCTGTATCACTGTAATATGATGACTTTAATTCTTTCAGGAAGATATTCAAGAGAGATATAGCTGGATCAAATAGAATTTCTATATTTAGTTTTTAAAGAAATCTCCATAGCTGTTTCCATAGTGGTTGAACTGTCTTATGTTTCTGTCAACAATGTGGAAGAGTTCCTTTTCTCTAATTTCATCACCAGCATTTGTTATTTTTTGAGTTCTTGATGACACCCATTCCTGAAAGAGTAAGATGAAAAACCAGTGTTGTTTTTATTTGTACTTCTGTAATGGTCAGAAATGTTGAGCATTTTTCATATATTTTTTGGCCATTTGTACTTCTAAGTGTCTATTCATTTCAGTTTGCCATTTTTGATTAGGTCTTTTACTTGGGAGAGTCTAATATCAGTCTTCTGTCTGAAGAGTAGCTGGCAAAACTTTTTCCATTCTGTATGTTATCTCTTCACTCTGTTAGTTTTTCCTCTTTGCTTGCTGAAGCTTTTTAATTCAATATATGCCATTTGTTGATTTTTTAATCTTATTTCTTGTGCAATTGGGATTCTTTTCAGAAAGTCCTATTTTGTCATCTATCAGATTACATGTTTCTGTTTTAGTATCTAGGTCTTTGATCCATTTTGATTTCAGTATGGAGAGCTACATATGGATTTAGAGTCATTCTTCATGAGGATAACAACTTTCCCAGAACAATTTGTAGCAAAGAGGTTCATCTGTCAAAGATCAGATGGCTAAAATGTTTCTTTGTGCTTTATTCTATTTCATTGGTGTATATGTGTATTTTTGTGCCAGTACGATACTCTTCTTGTTACAGTAGTTTTACAGAATAACTTGAAATCTGATATTGTAATGCATCCTACTTTGCTCTTTTTGGCTTTGGCTATTCTAGGTCTCTTCTCATTCTGATAAATTTTAGGATTTTTTTTTTTAGTTTTATGGAGAATGTTTTCAATATTTTGCTTGAAATTTCATTAAATCTACATATCAGCTTTGGCAATATGGCCATTTTGACAACATTGATTTTGTTAATTCAACCATAGGGGATGTATTTCCATTTTCTAATGTTCTCTTCAATTTCCTTTGCCAGGGAATGTATTATGGTTTTCATTGTAGAGTCCTTCACTTCCTTGGTTAGGTTATTTCCTAGGTATTTAACTTTTTTAAAAGCTACTATTCATGGAATTGTTTTCCTGATTTCATTTTCAGAAGGTTCATTGTGGTCATAAGAGAACATTATTGATTTTTGTGCATTGATTTTGTATTCTGCCACCTTGCTGAATTTACTTATTAGCTCTAAGAGTCTTTTGGTGGAGTTTTGGGGTCTTTAGTGTAAAGAATAATGCCATCTGAAGATAAGCATGGCTTGACTTCCTTTCCTATTAACACCTTTTTATTTTTCTTCTTGCTTGACTGCTCTGGCAAAAGTTTTGAGCATTATATTAAACATGGGTGGTGAGAATGGACATTCTGTTCTGTTGCTGTTTATAGAGAAAGTTTATTGGTAGTGAGTTTGTCATGAATAGCTTTCATCACTTTGAGGTTAGGTTATACACATTTTCATCAGGGTTTTTATTGTCAGTAGCTATTAGATTTTATCAAAGGTATTTTTTTTGCATCTATTGAGATGATCATGTGGTCTTGGTCCTTGCTTCTACTTATGTGATATATTACATTTATTGATTTTATCTGTATGTCCCTGGAATGAAAGCATTCTGGCCATGATGTATGTTCTTTTCACGATTTTTGGATTCTGTTTGCCAATACCTTGTTGAAGATTTTTTTCATCTGTGTTCATTAAAGATATTGGCATTGAGTTTTATTTTTCTTTCTCTGAGTATTTTTTCTGATTTAATATCAGGATAATGCTGGCTTCAAGAAATGAGTTTGGCAGTGTTGCTTCCCTTTCAATGAGGCTTACTTATTCTTTTCTGATGTTCTGGTAAAATTCAGTAGTGAATATATCTGGCTTTTTTAAAAATTTTATTGAGTTTATTGGTGCATTTTAGGGATACAGTACAGTTACATTCATTGTTGGGATCATGTACCTCTACATGGCAAGTCTTGATTCTCATTTTTTCCCCTTACCTCTGCCCTCCCTTCACCCCCTCCTCCCCTCCCCATCTACAAACACTTGATTTTCATCTTTTCATTCTCTCACATTTTTTTCTTTTCCCTTTTTGTTCTTCCCCTACGCATCACACCTTCCCTACACCTTTAGCTCCTTTCTTCAAATTTCTAAATGTCAGTAATCTTATTAGAATCTTATGCATTGCTGCAGAATATTCACACCAGGGAAACTATTTGGTATTTACACATGTGTGACTTATTTATTTCACTTAGGAGTATATCTTCAATATGTATCCATTTTCCTATGAATGAATCTATTTTCTCATTCTTTATGGCTGAGTAATATTCCATTTTATAGGAAAACCACAACTTCTTTATCCAGTTTCCAATGGATGGGCAAATAGGCTGTTTCCAAGATTTAGCTATTACAAACTGTGCCGCTATAAACATGGGTGCACATACTTCTCTGTGATATGATTCTTTTAGTTCTTTTGGAAAGATACCCAGCAGAGGGATGGCTGGGTCAAATGGAACCTCCAGTCCAAGCTCTTTGAGGTATCTCCATATTGATTTCCATAGTGGTTGCACTAGTTTGCACTCCCACCAACAATGGAGAAGGGTTCCTTTCTCCCCACAACCCCGCCAACATTTGTTATTGTGTGATTTCTTGATAGCAGCCATTCTTTGTGGGGTGAGGTGGAATCTCAGTGTTGTTTTCATCTGCATCTCTTGAATGACCAGTGATGTGGAACATTTTTTCATATATTTTCTTGCTGCTTTTGCTTCTTTGTCTGAGAAATGTCTGTTCATTTCAGATGCCCATTTTTGAATCGGGTCTTTAGGACTATTATCAAGGATATATAAAGAACTCAAAACAATCAGTCCCTCCATACTTATTTTTTTAATTCCTATAATAAATTCCTGAAAAGAATTGCTGGGTCAATGTATATGTGTGATTTAAATTATAGTAAATATTGCCAATGACACTCCAGAAGCGTATTAAATACTTTTCCACCAGATTTGTTTACAGTTAAATCTCTTACAGTGTGCCACATTAGATGTCAATTTTTTTCAATGTTTAGCACACTGACTGACAAAAACCAATATCTCATTTTGCTATAATTTATATAATAAGATTTTTTTTCTGACTTGAGATCTAGTTGTGTTTGTTTTCTTTCTTTCTTTCTTTTTTTTTTTGAAGAACAGGATGTAGCCTTTTTATTTTCAACAAAATTGCCCAGAACAGCTTCAAATTTCTGACCTTCCAGCCTCAGCCTCCTGAGAAAATGGGATTACAGGAGTGCACCACCCCTGGCATAACAGACAGGTATTGTGTTAAAGCAAGAAAGAGCACTTCCTGTGTAGTATGTCTTACACAGAAATTTAAAAGAGGGCATACACAGCATTATAAAAATGAAGACCTTACATTACATTTGAAAAAGCACCACTTATTATTATTAGAACCATATATATCATTTACCTCTATTCCCCAAAACCTTGATTTGTGAGCATAATTCATTTCAGAAACACACTTGCAATCCAAAGCACTTGTCTATCAACGTGAGTTTCCCCATAAGAAATAACGGAAACTCAGATGATTCATTCCACAACCCAAAACATTCACATTAAAATTATTATAATACTGTAATATAATATAAATAATAAAGAAAAACAAACTGACCTGCATTTACCTTTAAAAACTGGTGGCTTGTGTGAGGTAGTCAAGAAGGAGGAAGGCTATTATTGTACAGGATACTTTCACTGTCACTGAAAGAATCACTGCTGTCTATTGGCTCCACGGAATCTTTTTCTTTTTGTGTCACTTTACCAAGGAATCTGTCCAGGGACACTTGCTTTTGCCTCCTTTTGAGGATTTTGCAGAAATGAGACACTGCATTGTCATTAAATAGATGCATTGCTCACGTTAGTGGCATAGCTGAATTTTACAACTCACTGTTGCAGCCGAGTGCCCCAGCTGTGAGGCACTGCTAAGTTTACAGCTCAGTGTGGCAGCTCTGGAGCACAGTTCTCATAATTTGAAGATTTGGGAATCTGCTGGTAAGTGAAAGAGGTGGGAAAAAGCCTTTATTCACTGGCAAGTTCCAGTGGGCTCAGAGGATTCTGAGCACTCTACCAGAAATGAGAGCCTCCCTATATAGGGACCTTCAGGGTAGGTAAGCATGCTCAATTAAGCAGGGCTATGGTGGTGGGGGGTGGAGTTCAAGAACTTTCCTGAAGCAGAGGGGCCGAGTTACAGAACATTCCTGGGGTTGGGGGAAAGCTTAACAGGACCTTCTTGTGAGGCAACAGAGCTTAACTGAACATCCCTGAAAGGACACAAAGTTCAAACAGCCACAAACCATTTTGACACATTGGGTAGGAGCCCAGCAGCACAAAGTTACATTTCCAAAACAAAACATTTTGTGAGAAAAGAAAATGGAGGCAAGGCCAGGGCCTGTCTAATTGTATAGCACTTCTCTATCAATGGGGGGAATGATTATGATAGGTATCTTCCTGTCAGCTTCACGGGCATTAATGTGCCATGACAGGTTTCCTAAACAGAGCATTACATTATTCTAATGTCAATGAAGTTGTAGCATCACTCTGAAGCCAGCAAGAATTTAAAGCAAAAGGAATTGGATATTTTGAGTGTAGACACCATGAGATCTCTAAAACAAAATGTATAACAGAAAGGAAAAGGATTTTGGAGCCTTGTATGGATTGATTTTCATTTCTAAACACTTGTGCATCAATCTCCATAACCCACACAAGCAGGAAATTTTGTAACCTTTTCTGTTACAAACAAAAAGTCCTAATGGCCATGAGTGAGGTGGCCCTGGTGGGTGTGGCCAGCTCTGCATTGGCCCGTTGGGTCTGTGACATCACAGGAGCCTGTGTGAGGTCACAGCAGTTATCTATATAAGGCTGAGGCTCAGGTGGGTCTCTTGTGGGTAGAAGGAGACTGTTGAGACAGAGTTAGGTGGAGGCTGTTGTTGGAGATTTGGTTATAGATTTGGTGCTATGGGGAGTGTAGGACGTCATTACACTGTGCCAAACAGTGTTCCTGGTGAGTGTAGTGAGGGAACTTCCTGGCTGGGCTTCACAACTAGCTCATACAGATACAGACTCCAGAATAACTATGATGTGCTGGGCCTCATTGACCAAGGTGGCTTTGGTAAGGTGGTTTTGGGGCAACATCATGGCACATGCATGCAGGTCACCATGAAGGAGTTAGCAAAGGCAGAGGGGCAAGAGGCCTACACTACGATGGAGGTTGGGATACTGAAGGACCTTTGACACCTTAACATCACACAATTGCTAGAAGTTATAGAAACTAAGGACAGAGTACAACTGGTCCTAGAATATATGATGGGGCTCAACCTGTGGGAAGAAATCATTCAGAGCAAAAAGCAGAGGCTTCAGGAGAAGGACGCTGGGAGGATTTTCCGAGACATCTTGGGAGTGGTGGATTATTGCCACCAGCAAGGTATTGTACATGGGGACCTCAAGCCTGAAAATGTTTTGATCGACACCCAAGGCTGTGCTAAAGTATGTGACTTTGGGTTTGGGATCCGGTTCCTCCCTGGGCAGGAGGTGACTGTGGTTGGTGGCACGCCGGCGTACTATGCCCCAGAAAGAATCTTGTACCAGAGGTATGAAGGCCCTCCTCTGGGTGTCTGGGTCCTCAGCATTATATTATTGAGATGGTTACTGGGACATATCTCTTTTGTGGGGATCCAGCCGAGATAACTGAAAACATCATTTATCAGATGATCTTTTACCCGAACTTCATCTCCATGAATACCAAACATTTCATCAGAAAGCTCATGAAACGGGACCCCAGCATGCAGCCAATAGCACAGAAGGTGCTGGAGCACCAGTGGCTCCAGGGTGTCCGGCCCCCCAGTCCTCCAGAGCTGCTTCCTGTGCCTACAAAGAGAGCAATCCTCAGCCATATGGCTAGGATGGGTTTTGATCCGCTAATGGTGATGGACACCCTGAGGAGGAAGAAATATAATCATGAGATGGCAACCTTCCTGTTGCTGCAGAGCCAGGCCCTCCAGGGGCTGGGCTTCAGCAACTCAGTGAAGCCTGTGCATGAGGCTGCAGAGAAAACATCATGGCCCCTGACAGGTCCTGCACCCTTAACTCACAACCCCTGGAGGAGGGCCAGCGAGCCTGCCCCCTGTACTGGCCGCTTATTCCCTGAATGAAGTCCCAAGGAGAGCAGGATGGCAGAGGCTCCCAGCCACCCATGACCATCCAGAGGACCCTAATTCCTAGCGTGTTCCCCCAGCCTGGCCCTGCCACTCCCAGTGTGTCCCACCAGCCAGGCCTTGGAGCTCCCCGCTCTCACTCCAGAACCACCTCTGCCCCTGCCAGCAGTGGGCTTCGGTACTGGAAGGCTGTCAAGAGGAGCATCACAGGCTGCCTATGGGCTCTGTGCTGCTGCTGCCTGCCACCCTGTGTGCACCACCGACACAAGGTGGCCCCAACATAAGTAGCACCCAGCAGAATCCCAGACAACCCTGAACCCTCAAGGAGGCTGGGTGGTCTGGGTGCTTTCTGAGTGAGCTGTATCCTCATGATGTCACCTTTAGTGGTCAGGGTAGAAGTGGAGTGAGGAGAAGAGGGGAGAGGGATGGAGGAGTTGTGGCCAGAGAGAAGAGTCACAGGTGGACATGAGGACTTGCTGTCAGGTCTACTGTAGGGTAGGGTGGTGGTGACCACAGCCAACAATAATGGCTGGTGTATTTTCACACGAGTGTCCATTTCATATGTGTCCTTGTTGTTTTAGTACAAAGCCATGAGAGCAACTCCATGGACATGGACGTCCTACCCATGGCAGACCAGCCACATGGGAGGAAGCCACAGTGAGTCACCCTGCAGCCCCATCTAGGGAATTAGAGGGAAAGGGTGTCCAGGACACCTGTGTTTCCTGTGGGAGGGAGGGAGGAGGGTGCACAGCACAGAAAGCTGAGCTTGAGTCAAGAGCTAGGATTCAGTGGGAGGAAGATGGAGGAACAGCAGGAGGAGGTCTCCCTGACTTGTGTGCCATTGCCAGAGGGAGGCTCCCCTAAGATCAGGGAGTGTCCAGCACCTTGGAGTCTTTAGACCACAGCCTCCTGACTGGGTGCAGGTAGATGTGGGGCTGGGTGAAGGTGGGGTTAGTTGATCAGAGCCCTGACTTTATCCCACAGTCCTCCGTGGTATGGAGCTTCTCTCTGCTCATCTTCTGGCATGTTCCTGTGTGAGGGTTTCCACCAAGGAGCCACAGAAGAGTTGCTGAAAGGACAGTGAAGGGAGACAGCCCTGCCTGTTCTGAGGACTGGGACAGTGCTGTTCCCTCGGCCACCATGTAGAAGCCTAGACTTGGCTGTGCTGTGAGCAGCCCAGGAGTATGCAGAGGCCACATTGATCCTCTTCCCCCTGACTACATGATGGGGGCCACCCCAGCCCAAAGAGCTGTGTGGCGGCATCTTTACATCATTCCAGTACCAGCCATGGAGCATCCTGGCCCAGAAGTCAGCACAGCTGAGTCCTGAGGACCAGGGCCATGCCTCAGCCCAAGTGGACCTGGCCTTGGCCCTGAACCACATAGCTAACATCTCTGTGGTCTCTGTGCCTCCTCCTCAGTCATCCAGGATGCAGTCGGCCCCAGCCCAAGGCAGTCTGCTTCCAGGATGTCTCTCAAGCCTGTCTTTTCCCCATGCTCCATCAGCACTGTAGAGAAGATTTGTTCATGGCACAGATGTTGGAGACACTCAGGGCCAAGGACAGTGGTGCGGGCACTGCAGACACCAGAGGTGCGGGGCCAATGCTGAGAGCTTCTGCAGGTGAGAGGAGGAGGGGGATTCAGGAGCAGAACACGGACACAGTCAAGGGATCAAATGAGCCAGCCTCTGCCCCAGAGGAGCTGGCTGAGGACTGATTTGGTGACAGCACCCAGGGACAGTGATGCTGTATGGCCTGCACATCAGCAGAGCTTCAGCATAGTGACCCGTGTGATTCTCTGAGGGTGCTTGGTGCCCAGGGCTGCTCTTCCTCTTCCTGCTGTCAGGATCACTGGGATTTTATGGAGGAGGGAGGAGCATGACTCATGGAGGGCTGAAGTGAAGTCCCAGATTTGTACAGGGAGAACAGGGCAGGGCTTGGATTCGACTCTGGAACTTCCCAGCTCTTGGTCATACTGTCGTCTAGTGAGGAAGACAGTCTGGGACATCATGAGAGGAACGATAGTGTTGGCACCAGATGGTGGAGGTAGTAGCTTTCCAGGCTGTGGCAGGACACCTGAGATTCATCAGCAGAGGTTTCCGTCCAGGGTCACTATGGGCTTGGGGCAGCACAGCACATCATGGCAGCAGTGTTGGAGGAGGAGACCCCTCACCTCATAGCACCTGGGAGGCAGAGTCATGAAGAGGCCGGATTCCATAATTCTGGTCCCAGCCACGCCCCTGTGACCTCACTTACTCCCACTAAGCTCTGCCTCCTCCCAGGGGCTCTGCTGTCTGGTCCACACTTACAACTGTGAGCCTACAGAGCACCTCAGAGAGAAGACAGAGGAAGACAAAGGAGCAGTAGGAGGGGGACTTTCCTGATTTGTCCCTTGTTACCCTAGAGAGGCGGCTCTGGGGGCAAAGAGTGCTGGGCCCCTGGGTGCCTGCAGACCGCACAGCCTCCCTTGTGGGTGCGGGTAGACGTGGAGGCTGGGTGAGGGCGAGGCTTGTCCAGCACAGCCATGACTGTATCTCACAGTCCTCTGTGGTGAGGAGCTTTTACATGTCCTCCTTGGTCACCTCTTGCCAGGCCCATGTGTGAGAGCTTCCATGAAGAAGCCACCAAGTTGTTGCTGCAAGGATGGCAAGTCCAGGTGAAGAGAGGCAGTGCTGTGAGCTCTGTTTACTGGGCCACTGTACTGCCACTCTGGCCACCGTGCAGATTCTGGGACATGGCCATGCTGTGAGCAGCCCAGGAATATGCAGAGGCCATGCTGAGTCTCTGTCCACTGAGTTCAGCATGGGAGCCATCCCAGCCCAGTCACCTGACAGGTGTGTGATGCTGCCCCCAGATGACCCAGCCACTGCCGTCAAGCATCCTTCTCCTAGAAACTTCTGTGGACCCTGCAGCATTCTTTGGGATCCTCCCACCCATGCTGCCATGTGCATCGTACTTACCTCTTGGTAACCATGTGGTAACTGGAAGGAACAGCAGCAGCAAGAATGGGCTGCGTCTCAGCTCCTTGGGAAAACTTGCTGCCTTCACTAGGGCTTCTGAGTGTCTTGGGAGCTTGAATATGGAGAGAGGGGGGAGGCACCTCAGACAGAGATTTCTGGAGGGGGTGAAGGGAGGGCAGGGACAGGGGGAAAATGAGAACCAAGACCTGTCATGTAGAGGTACAAGATCCCAATAACGAATGTGACTGTACTGTATGCCTAAAATGTACCAATAAACTCGATTAAAAAAAAAGATTTCTGATAAGGTGAGTGTGCGTGGGAGGGATGTGATGAGCTGGGGCGGTGCAAAAGCTGAACACACACTCGCCCTCAGTTTCTCCACAGCTCTACTCTGGAGACTCCCCAAAAGAAGGGGAGCAGACCCGCTCTGGTCTTTCCACAGTTCTATCTTTATCTATTTGTGCCAGTACATGATACATCGTTTCTTCTTGATTTCCTCAATCCCCTCCCTTCTCAATAACCCTTCTTGCCCTTCTTATTTACAAATAAATTGTTTCCATTTCCTCCTTCTATTTTCTCTGGTTTCCTCCCCTCCCTTTCCCCCGCCCACCTTCCTGGTTCCCCTTCCCATTTGAATTTTTTCCCCTATTTCTCAATACGTGTTGTACTTGTACCCTGTTTACCCTTTCAGTTTTTCACAACAGATTAAGATGTGATATTTAAACTTGTGACTCTGATTTATTTCACTTAAGATTTATGGTCTTAAAGTGCATCCATTTAACTAGAAATATCTCATGTTTATCCCAGAATAGTTCTCCATTATTTAAAAAAAAAAAATCATACCTTTTTTTTTTTCCCCTGTATCGGGATCGAACTCAGGACCTTGAGCTTGCAAGGCAGGCGGCAGCACCACTGAGATAAATCCCTGGCCCTATCATATCTTCATTATCTGTTCATCAATTGATGTGCATTTGGGCTGTTTCCAAGATCGAGCGGTTACAAAATTTGGCACTATAGGCATGGGTATGCAGATATCACTGTGGTACAATGGCTTTAATTCTTCTGCAGAGATACTGAGAGGCAGAATAGCTGGGTCAAATGGAACCTTTAATTTTAGTTTTTTGAAGAATTTCTGCACTGGTTTTCACATTGGCTGCATCAGTCTACACTCCCTCCAACAGTGGACAAGTGTTCCTTTTTCTTGACAGCCTCAGTAGCATTTTTATTGGTTGGTGTCTTAACTAATGGCTATTCTTTCTGAAGTGAGATGGGATTTTAGCATTGTTTTAAGACTTTTTCATATATTTATTTGCCATTTCTACTTCTTCATCTAAGAAGTGTCTATTCATTTTAGATTCCCATTTTTGTATTGGTTCTTTAATTTGAGAGGTGTGCTTTAGTTGTGTTTTCTGAAGGAAAAGGCTCTATTGTTTGGCTCTGTGAATTTTCTCCTACTCCCAAAATCTGCCTTCCCTCTCCTACTCATCACAGCATAGATAGGTATTGTTGGTCTTTTGCTGCAGGCAATTTCCCCACCTTATTAAAGGAATAATTGCCTTCTGGCTCTGACATAGGTTCTCATTATATCGTGCATGCAATCATGCACACAGTTATAAATCACTATCACACATGCATGTATATATATATGCATATATATATATATATATATATATAGAGAGAGAGAGAGAGAGAGAGAGAGAACTATACATACAATATGCACAGCACCAATACACCACACACAAAATTATATATTTAATCATATCACATTATACCACACATAGCAGAGCACATTATGCAGTGTTTCACAGTGTCATCGTGAAGCTGTTGTGAAGCAATCAAAATCAGTGTCATTCCAATTAGTTCGGAGAAACATCTTATTTCTAGGAAACTTCAAAAGCTCCCAGATGACTGCGGCCTTTGTTGGGTGTCAGCCTCATCATTTCAGTTTTCTGGATTCTCCTTCATGGGGTGTTTCTGCAAGTTGAGAGCTGTTTCCTCCTGATTATGCCCTCAGATGAGCAGAAAGACTACAGGAAAAAGGTGAGAACAGAAGTTCTTGGGTACAAACTACAAGAAATGGTTTAAATGTGTGATTTCTACTAATTCCATACTAATATGTATTATTTCCTCTTTAATTTTAACAAGAGGATTTTTTAGGAATTAAATTGTAGGAAGGCATATGTAGATCTAGTTTTGCCCGATTTTTGCTTAAAACATCCTGATTTACAATCAGACCAGTGTTTCTGTGTGCAGTTTTCTTTATTGATTTTTTTCCTTGTCACCAGCATTGCTGAAAACAGAATTACTAAAATATGCTGACCTCTTTTCTTTCTTCAGAGTTTCTTAGCAATAAGATATACTCAGACATGAGCCACCAAATCTGCTATTTAATTAAAATGTTAGATTGGAGAAATACAAATAATAGAGCCTGTAAAGAATTTTTATATGAACAGTACTTTTTTCTATTTCATTTTCTGTGTATGAGATGGGATCTAATACCAGAGCAAAGGTTGCATAGCAGAGTAAATTCTGGGTAGGATGACCCAAGATTGTATCCTATGTGTGCATTACCACAGAATAGTTTCCCTTTCTGAGCCTTATCAAATTGAGCTGATGAAATACTGAGGTATGAGCATTAAATGAATATTTTGTACAATAAAATACTTCATCAAATTAGAGTAATATTGTTTTTATTCACTCACAATTTTTATTGAGTCTATTATGTACAAATCCTATACAGGAAACTAGAAAGGGAAATGACGATTCCATTTAGTGATAAAGAGCCGGGTCTCTGCTATCAAAAAGCTTTTTTGTTATGATCAGAAAGAGAATCAATGAAGGATTTTCAGTAAATGGTGATCAAAGTGTGGGACCAAGTGTGGCCCAGCATAGAGGCTCATGGTCCTGGCTGGAGTTGCCAGAGAAAACTTCTGGAAAGGGAGCACTGGGCTCTCCTTAGGTTGCAGAGAATTTGAAATGGGTTTGGATAGGCATTTTGTGATTTTTTTTTTCCTACATATACTTGACTTAATTACACGGATGCAATCACTTTTATGGACAACTTTCTATGACCTAGGCTCCAGGATGAACTGGCTACGGGTCCCTCTATCAAGGATTCTCTTTTCTCCTGGAAAGAAGTAACTACATTGTGTATATATTGTGATAATAGTCATCACTAACCTTTATTGTCTCTGTCTTATGTGGCAGTCATTTTTCTAAGTACTTTGCATTGATTAACAAACTTCATCCTCATAATCAAGCTTGTGAGAAGCACATTATTATTATAATACCTATTTTATGGATGATTAAACAGAGGCAAATGAGGAGTTACCCGATTCTGCATAGATGGGAAGAGATAAACCAAGTTTGCTCAGAAATTCCACCTATACAGTGTTACCTTGGTTCAGAAACTTAATTTGTTTCATGATTCTGGCTGTAAACCAAATTGGCCATGAAATGAATCAAAATTTTCCATAAGTTTCAATGTAAATAAAGTTAATCTATTCTGAAATATATGTATTTTTAATTACAAAAATATGAAACAAAGTACAATACGGTACAATATGAACAGAGAGAACATTAACTTTGCTTGAGGTGACTTCTACTGTGGAGGACAGGAAGATGGGTGAGGAGAAGGTTACTTCTTGGTGGGAAAGTCCCCCTCCAAAAGGACATCAGGAAGATCTACTTCAAGAACTTCCTCTGTTCTTTGTCTCTTTACTGCAGGGTCAATTTTGATGACAAAATCTGTCTAATATCCCTTGTTTTTCCTGCACAGCATAAACCTCTGGAAATGAGAGACCATGGTGCTGTTCATCAGATTCAATACTCTGTTCATATTATGTTGGTATGGTGCTTCTCAAAGAAAACCTAGCACTCATTCCATTTTTCCATAGTAGATTTAATCACGCCATGGCTAACTTCCTGTCTTCCTCTTCCTCAGTGGAATGCTACTCAACAAGCACCTTCTGCTGCTCACTCTGGAGTTCAACAGCCTTCTGTTGTCAGGTCCTCCTTTGATCCTCAATAAGCTCCTCTATGTCTGTGCCGTTGATGACCAGACCCATAATCTTGCACTTGGACACAGTCTCCTCCCTTACTTTTGCATCAGACCCTTCAAAGTCATGTTCAGTGACACATTCTGGCCTCCAGACTGAGTTTAAGATCCAATATATGACATCCTTCATTTTTCAATGAAGTTGTTTCCATGGAAGACACTAAAATATTTCTTCCACAACTCTTTCAGAGTCAAGAACATCTCTTCAGTGGCATTACAGCACCTGGTGAAGAGCATCTTTGTGTACAGCTTCTTGAAGTTGCAGATTATTTACTGGTCCATGGGCTGTAGAAGAGGTTGGGGGAAAAATTTGACCTTTATGAAGTCATACTCAGCATCTATGTCATCCACCAAGACTGGAGGGTGTGCTGGTGGAATTGCTCATCAAAAAAGTCACCTTTCAGGCAGTTGGTTCTTAGAAAGATATTTCTGGGCTTTTTTCCCAGGCAGATATTTCTTTTTTTTTTCCTCATTGAGTTTATTGGTACATTTTAGGCACACAGTACAGTTACATTCATTGTTGGGCTCTTGTACCTTTACACTACAGGTCTTGGTTCTCATTTTTTCCCCTTACCCCTGCCCTCCCTTCACCCCCTCCTCCATTCCCTATTTACAAATACTTTACTCAGGAAGATATTTCTTAACAGAGGTATCCTACAGCTATTCAGTTAACACTTGTGACCAAAGCTTTTGCGTTGGCCCTCCACATGATAGGCAGTCTGGCATTGTTCACATTCTGTTCCTTGAATCCATTAGAGTTCTGGGAATGGTAGTGGCTTAATATTCAGATCTGTGCTTGTATTCGAACATAGCAAAAGGGTCAGTCTGTCTTTCATGGACTTGTACCTCAGCAATGCCTGTTTTTCCTGTGCAATGTAGATCCTGTTTCTCATCTTCTTCTAAAAGAGCCATTTCATGGCAGCAGAACACGTGTTGAGCTTTCTGCCTTTATGAATTCTTTCTTGTAGGCTTCTGCAGCAGTCTGGTCAGAACTGGGATCCTCACCATGTCTTATTGTACTTGTGGATGGCTTTTCTCTACTGATTTTAAATGCATTACTTGTTGCACTTATAGAGGGATTTTCTTGGAGTAAACACTGTGAAATTTCCTG